CCCCTCCAAGCAATCTTCAGTAGCAGCTGCCAAGTCCGGACCAAAGCCTACGGAGAAAGCTTCTCCAAAATCAGCAGGAACTTCCAAAACCTCACCTGCTACCAAGAAATCAGCAACTAAAGGAAAAGAGACAGTCAATGGCAAAGACTGTAAAACGGAGTCAGCGCCAACAGAAAACACTGGTGAAGTTGCAGTGCATAAAGAGAGTACAGAGGTAGAATTCTCTGACCAGCCTGCAGCACAGCCAACAAACCAGAGTGAAGGGGATTTACTTAGCCAGCAACTAGAATCTAAGCAGCATCTCCAGAAGACTGAAATACTGTCAGAAAACACTAACTGTTCAGCTAGCAACACGCCTCATGTCAAATCTGCTAAGGTGGACACTTGCAAACAGACTGAAGGGAGTAAAGTGAAACCGCCCCCAAGCGGAGTCATCAGTGGAGGGCAAATTCACGAGGACGGCTCCAGAAATTGTCAGAGAGATACCGAACGTCTCGTAGACACACCATGCAGCGTGTGCAGCACTGGCCCCCCCTTAGAGGACTCCTGGAGTGCCGTCCACCATCAGGTCAGCCCCGAGTCTGAGACCTGCAGCACACACACCACCTCCTCCGACGACATCAAGCCCCGCTCGGAGGACTACGACGCCGGCGGCTCGCAAGACGACGACTGCTGCTCCAACGAAAGAGGCGTTTCAAAGTGCGGCACCATGCGCTGCCACGACTTCTTGGGTCGCAGTAGCAGCGACACAAGCACCCCAGAGGAGTTGAAAATGTACGAAGGCGGGGCGGGGTTAAGAGTGGAGGTAAGGCTGCGGGGGCGAGAAGCGGAGACCACTAGCGAGGAAGAGGGAGTGAGACAGCTTCCTCGCTCCTGGTTGCACCGAGACGAGCTTCCCGTAGAGGAGGAGCACTCCGAGGTGGAGGCAACGGTGACGGTGAAAAGCATCCCCGACCACCAGCTCTTCTCCTCTGAGGAGGAAGATGAAGAGGCGACGGAAGATGACAGATCTGAAGTCGAGGTGCTTCCGGGGCAGGCCCCGCTGCCACCATCTGAATCCTCTCCAAACTTTCAGGGGATCATCAACCTGGCTTTCGACGATGAAGCCGCTGACCAGGATAACGATCAGGCCGACTACCAGACCACGGCTAACTTTCGCCGCTCAGTGTTGCTCTCTGTTGACGAGTGTGAGGAGTTGGGTTCAGAAGAAGGCGGCGTCCAAACGCCACCTCAGCAGCCCAGTGAGGGTGCGACTCCCTGTGACGTTTTCGAGTCTGACTCCACAACTCCTCAGACCAATTTTGCTCCAACCAACAACCAACTGAACCACCTGAAAGGCCATCTTGAAACTGCAGACAGAACGCATACAAAAACAGACGAGGAACAGGATGAAAAGTCCTCTGTGTTCCTTACAGAGATCCAGGCGGAGAGTAACGGAATAAAGTCTAGCGTCCCTCTCTTGGATGCTGACATGAGAGACCTGCCTCCCCAGGAGCGCCCATGCCACCTGGATCTCCGGCACACAGAACAATACAACGGAGGGCCACGCAAAAATCACTCCAATCCCACAGAAAGCAAGAAAGCTGATTTACATCTAGACTTAAAAGAGCCTCAGCAGACAGGGGACTCTCCTGTACATGCTGCACAATCTCCAGCAGGTAATGTATGATCTACAGACCCTTATAGACCCCAAATCCAAATTCACCTCCTATCCCCAAGGTATAGTTTATCCCTGCAAGATTCATCCTCCTCTGCTCCAACTGCTAGACCTTACCCACACCCAACATGTACCTATCCCTCTTTCAGAAAAAGGATATAGTGTAGTAACTAAATATAAACACAAGTTCAAATTCAAATGAAATCAGTAGTCATCATTTCCACCCATTGATTGTGTAGCTGTTGTAAATTTGAATTTGCAACATCAATATCCTTTTAAAGATGGAGTTTGGTCTCATCATAGTCCATTTAGCTGTACATTTGAAACAACTGAACTACCTGTAGTCAGAGGCATTTAGGCCTTGGTAAGTCAGTTTACACAGAAACAGGGGAAAGCAGTGTACGTGTCACTCACACTGATGATATCAATTGTATATGTGACATTAAAAAGAATATGCCTTGTGACAAGGCCTGTTAGATAGTTCTACCCATGCACTTTCATGTACATACAAATCACATTGTTTTGGTTATTGTTGTCATTTCCTTTATGCAGTCAGAATAGCAGTTGTCCTTTTTAGAGTCAAAGAGAATTTGACAAATTTGATGGAGCTTTAAATATAGTTTTAAAATCAATATATCGTTGCTAAATTAATTTAGTTGGTATTATTAAAATGGTGTTTCCTAAAAATAGAATACATTCCAAAAAGCCCCATCACTCAGGAGATGTTGCTCTAAAAGTTTTCTTCTGCTTTGGTGTAAAGGATAGATGTGTTTGGCTTTTCCTTCATTAAACCATTGTCATTCTAAGAAGGACAAACATATCTCCAGAAGCCCTTTTTTATTTGTCTTTTGGCTTCTCATCGATGGCCCCTTGTTTACAGCGATTAAAGGAACATCTAAAAATAACATTCAAAAGATTTGTTGATGTGAAAATGCTATATGTAGCACCTGGCATCAAGGTAAAACACACAAATAGATTAGCTGAACTGCCACTGCTTGTCAGAAAATGGGGAACTTTTCCCTTGCATTTTCTTACTGACCATCTTTATTTGTATTCATGAATGTCCCTGAGTTTTGTGTTTGCTTTTTTTTTGTTGCACTGCACACATGCATGCTTGAATTAAAAAAATGTGTCATCCTCCTCTGCTATCAACCATTTGTGTCTTTTTTCCCCACATTCCATGACCTCTTGTCATACCCAATAGACTTAAGTGTAGATAGACGTCCACTTTGAAAGAAGACTGTGGTTTGTTGTCTATGAGCTTTTGTTCAGTAGGTTTGTGTAGTGTCAGTAGCCTCCTCTGTAACGTATGTGATGACTCTTGAGCAGCTCTCATTGTCCTGCCATGTCTCTCTTTCTTCACTATCATATTTTGAAAAATAAATCCTGTGCACCTTTACTGAGGGTATATTCCGATGCAAACATGTAAATTACTTTGTTTTTAACATCAAACAATGATCCATCTTTTGCCTTTCTGGAATTGTACAAAAAATTGAAAACACAAAGAATGTAAATTGAACTTGGTGGTGTGCCATCTTTATGTGCTACTAAGTAAAGCACCGTTTGCTTGCATTTTAGGTTTTTGTGACAAGTCTGTTCATTACGTCTGCAATGACCTGCACGTCAAAACATGACTGTTAGCTACTGAGTTCACTGGTGCTGGCGATGCATGGCTTACTTTGTTTGAAAAGGTGGATAAAGAGATGCATTCGGATTCCTCTGTGCGTTACCTTTAAGGCAACTGTATTCACCTACTGTAGCATCCATATTTTGAAGTAATGATGTTTCAAATGGCAACACTATGAAGAATTATGAAGTCATCATTTGAAACACCATATTGTGAGCATCAACATCACTGCTTTTATAATGTTTATAACTTCACTATGGATTATCTTTTAAGGGAAACCGTTGCATTAAGGGTAAACATGTAGTCATCACTGTTGTATGAAACTAGGCAGTGACCAGCCTCTGAAATGTGAAGAAAAGGAGTGAATCAGTTTGTCATTTTGCAGTATTGTCAATTGTTTTTAGGGGACAATGGTTGTGACAGATCGGATCAAACCTGCAAACATGACCGCCGACCATCCAAAGCACTATCTCCCATTTACGAGCTGGATGTTGGAGAAGCCTTCGAGCAATGCTCGGAAAAGGACAGGAATGTTAATCTGAAGGCAGAGCAAGAAAAGCAAAGAGAGGACGATGAAAAAAGCAATGAGTTTGCAGAGCGGGACTGGAGCATGCTCAGGCAGCTCCTCTCAGACCACGAGTCCAACCTGGGCATCATAAACCCTGTGCCTGAGGAGCTAAACCTGGCCCAGTACCTTATCAAGCAGACTCTGTCCCTTTCACGTGAATGCCTGGACTCTCAGGGCTTCCTGTCCCCAGAGAAGGAGACCTTCAAACGCTGGGCGGAGCTCATCTCGCCCATGGAGGACTCCTCCACCAGCATCACAGTAACAAGCTTCTCCCCAGAAGACGCTGCATCTCCTCAGGGGGAGTGGACCATCGTGGAATTGGAAACACATCACTGACTACTCACACAGAGGAGAACCTGCCGGACAGTTGTCACCTCTGTGAACGTTGAACCTCTAAATATTAACTTTGTCTTAATTTATTCTTATTTATAATCATGCTGTCTCAAACATTTTCATCTTTTTTTTTTCTGGACTTTGCAGCAGTTTATTTTGCATTCCCCATCATGCCCTCAGTGGACAGTTTTTTTTACACAAACGGGATGTTATGCATGCTAATATTTTTTGTATGTCTGACTGTTTAATTAATGTTGCTTCACAGCTCTAGAAAGAATAGAGTAAGGAAACAAATATATTTTTTCTCATGGCAGTCTTCTGATAATATGGTTGACTGAAGTTTCTTAAAGAAAAAAATAACAATGGCCTACTGGCTTGCATTTAATGTCATATTGAAAATAAAGATTTGTGTTTATTGAAAAATGAAAAGTGTTGGTCACTGACAAGTCACAGAAACGTATTATTTTGTTCAATGTTACCTGGGTGCACTGCACAGATGTAAGTAATACTGTTAATTAACATGTGTTTACTAGTTGGGCTTGCTAAGACTTGATTATGTTATTACTTACAATTGTGCTTATCATGCTGTGAAATAAGCACATAGGCCTAATGCACACAGGTATCCCAACTTAATTACCTAATAATAGTTTTTTTTTTTTTAAAACGAAATTATAAAACCATAGAAGGTGCCTTTACCGTTAGTATTTGTTATTTCTCGTCTCAAAAACGTTAAAGGATGGTTTTGAAATAGCATCGCAGCGCCTTCTCGTGGTCCGATACACTGCCATACAGTCTCTATGAACACTGCGAATGGACCGCGAGGACATTCCAGAAAAGACGACGCCTCATTAACCGCTCTAATATTTAGCCTTTCATTGAGCAGTGGGTTATGGCGACACACACAGGAACAACTCCTCAGTGGAAAACAACGATTATAGTCAGCACTTCACTTCAGGTAAGTGATGGGTTAACTCCTGAGTAGTCAAACATTTATTTTAGACTTTAGTGTCAGATATTGGTAAAATAAATAGATAACGTGAAGAATATCGGTTTGCTAGAGCTAGCTAGCAAAGCAATGCCTAATACAAAACGCAAAGTGTTGGTTAAGATAACACTTGTCGAAATTTGACTCATTTAACTTTGTCTGGTTTTAAACGACTTTAGGAAATACATGTATGTGATTACCTGTATTTGTTTCACCAGAGCCATGACACAAGCAGGATGCTAAGCGCTCAGCAGCACCGAATCAGGTTTTCAGACGGTGTCGAGTCGGGAGCCTTCATCTTCCCTCTGTCAGGTAAACCTGCTGCTGGTTAGATAGACCCCTTTAATACACCTGCCTTACACTTCAAACCCAGTAACGCTATACAATATTAATTTCAGTAGTGTAAAGTAAATAAGTATATTTACTCAAGTACTGTACTTAAGTACAATTTTCAGAGACTTGTACTTCAGTATTTCAATGAATGCTACCTTTACTTACTTTGCAGATTTGGATTAATGTGAAATATAAACGACAAACACTTAAGACTTTAGTTCCACCTGGAGTAAATTCACAAGCTACTCTTCGGTATAAAATGTATTTAAAACTAGCTGTACCTTTACCAGCTTTGATAACGCTTTAATGCATCGATAATTATATAAAAAAACGTATAATATATATTATTTAGAAATGGGCCAATCTTCAGAATGAGTACTTTTACATTTGATATTTTAAGTATGTTTAGATGCTTATACTTTTGTACTTTTACTTGAGTAAAAGTGTTATACATTCATAACACTTTAAATGCATGACTTTTACTTGCAACAGAGTATTAATACACTCGGAGTACTTCTCCCACCTCTGTTAAGTTTGCATTTATAATAGAACTTTGACTCTGTAAAGTGTCTTTGAGTATCTAGAAAAGTGCCCTATAAATAAGATGTATTATTATTATTAACACAGAAGCCACTTACACAGGCTGAACTTGGGAAACAAATTACCACAAATATTTGTTTATAATATGTAATGGAAAAGGTCTCACAGTAACATGTTTAGTTTAGTTTAATACATTTAACATTCTCATAATGTTCTAGGTACTGCATTTCTTTTGCTTGACCCTCAAGACCCCTTGGAGCATTGTGAGGAATCTGGACTCATTGAGAGGATAAAGACGTTTGTGCAAGTACACCGGAACAGCTTTCTTCTTCTATACGCCCCCTTTAATGGGAAGAAGGAATTGGAAATATTGTCGGTGCTTCAAGACAGGTAGATAAATAGCTGTGTTATGTCTTTCCCAAGTTGTAACCCCCTTGTTGTGCTTGGCTGGCACGTATGTAGCTGGTAATATAGGCATTGAGATTCTGACATCTACATTATTTGCATCTCTTTCAGATTTTCTGGCAGCAACCTCAGGATCCTGCCTGTACGAAACAATGCTGAGATCGTCAAAGGAATGTTGACTATTGCCAAGGTAACGACAGAGGCAGCACACAACAGTTATTTGGTCAATGTACATTATAAGTTAGACAAGCTGTTTTTGGCCTTGTGATATTTGAAGTAAGGCTCATCTGTCTGCAGGCCACCAGTAAGCCCCATGTAGACAGTATCCGCGACCGGATGTCCCTGGCTCGGGCTCACATCATTGAGAACAGTCCTGTGTGGGAGATGCTGAGAGACATTCTATGAGCTCACCATATGATTCAGCATTGTTTCACACACTTAACACTTGTGTTTATTTGATGCTAACTATAGTGCACGCCTTATACAAAAGCACATTTAAATCCATGTTTATCACAGTTTGTTCTATTTTTACATTCTTTTTGTATTGGTCAAGCAGAGCACATCAAATAAACCTTCATAGAAATATCCCAGCAGTCAGAGGTGACACCTCAGTTTAGTTTTTGGCTCTTCTGCTTTTCATCTGTGATCTCTTCAATGCGGAATATAAGACTTTCCATCAGGTCAAATGTGACCAAAGCACTCTGCAACACCTGTGACACACGACAATAGTCAGATTGCTTGTCCTACAAAGGTTCACATCCAAATCATTATTAATAGGAAAGACTGTTTCTGTACCTGGTGCTGGACCTCTGGGGACATATTTGACATTTTCTCCTTTTTCACCGTTATGCTTTTGACTAGTCGGCTGGATCTGGCAGCATCTCTGGCTTCTGGGGCGGAACATAGAGATATTCCACAGTGTATTTGATCACCTTCTATGCAAGGTTATTTCAACGTCATTGTGTTACACAGATTAGGAGCTATACTGTACCTCTGGCTTTTATCTTTTGATCCTGCCGCAGTGCCTTCAGTTCAGCAGCATAATATCCTCTTGATATGCTGATGCACACACGCAGCATTTGTAGGTATTCATCTTTGATCCTGCACAGCTTCTCCCACACAATCTGAAGGTAGGAGGAGAAGATGATCAGCTTTGCGCATTTACCAGGCAGGAGAGTAGTCTTAAGTAATACATTAGACTGACTTACAGTGCTCCTCAGGTCTGTGTCCCTGATAAGGAGGTAGCGTAGAAGATTCAGACTCTCCATTATCCTGGATACAAAAGACAGGACTTAGTCTGCTTCATGTGTACCAGTTCTCACAATTACAGAGCCAAAATGTCTATCACTTCATCACATCCAAAATAAATGGTGTCACGAATTATGCCTCGACTCTGAATTTAAACATAAACAGATCTGTCCATATGTTAAACTATTCAATGTCACTCACTTGTCCATACTGTTGAGCAGATCTGTCTGAGCCCCTTGTGGCAAAGACAACACCAGTCCCAACAGCGGCAGAAGCTCCTCCCCCAGAAACCATTTATTGGCATTACCCTGCAGGAGGAGAGTGAAGGATTTAACACCTTCAACAAATGTCACCAGCTGAAACGCTGAATTAGGTCATCATGAATAAGCATGAATCCAGCTGCAGGATTTTCTAAAATATTGCTTAACATTCTATTATGATGTTTGTGAGACTGTTTATCTTACCTTAATAGAACATTCAACCTGATTCCTGATGTTCTTTACTATGTAACTCTCCACTCCTGCATGGTGGCTGGTTTTCAACATGCACCTGCAACAGAACATATAACCTTTGTTATCAGATGTCAGCAAATGCAGAAAATAATCAAATAATACAGCAAAGACAAAGTAAAACATCAATCCGATGTCTTCCCTAAAAGTGAGGTACATCAACTTTTGCAATAGTTAGACACTGGTGAACAATTGTGACGTATTGATTTAAAACTACAAACAAAGTTTACATTAGATCACTAATGGGTGAACAATTGTATCCAAAAAACAGTATGAAAACACCACATGTGAATATTAATGATTAGATTATCCATAAATATAGATATTTAGTCATTTATTTTACATTAGAATATGTGCTATTGAAACATGAACATTTGGTATACTGTTCCTTCTCTAATGATTCTCTCACCTGAAGAACTTGTGCTTTGCTTCAGAATCAAATTTATCGATACAAAGTTGTAAAACCTGTAGTCCCGTTTCTCTCTGGGGAAGCAGCGATCACACAGAAAAGAAAAGTAACCACGTCATTGTGTTTTACAGTTCCACAGATATACAATGAACATCCTAATCAAGCGTCGTTGTTTACTCACCAAATTCTGCATTGGGCAATCGGTTAACACTTGCCGCAGGTTCTGTGAATGTCAGCACAGCACAAGTCACTGATTGGTCAAAAGTATCCAAATAGTGGATTAAACACACAATATGCTATTTCTTCCAAGAGTCTTTCAAATAAAACACAAACAAAAGAGTGTTGTGAGGTCAAATACTCCGGTTCAAATATATGTTTAAAATGACCCAGATCAAGACACTGTATATTCAAAATGTATGACCACTTCTGGCAAAGCGCAATAATGCTGAATCATGCTTTTAGGGCATGCGAAGTGTTTACAGGCGGCCAAAGGAAACAGGCCGTACATTGATTGAAATTAAGAATCTCTCTGTGATTGAAAATGGTTTCAAACATCTGCCAATATGTACAGTAAGTACACAGCTCAAGAAAATATATAACACAGGTCTAGTTGTTATGGATATATACATATGTAAGTACGGTCAGCCAGTCAAAATCACAACACCCTGCAGAAAACCTGCTCCTGAGGCTGCTTGCCATACCTGGGGTGCACTGTAGAAGCTCTTCAGATCCTGTAGGCTCACCGGAAGGCTGTTGTCCTGCACATTTTCCAAGCTCTTTTCATACAGTGCCTGAGTGAAAATACACAGTTATGTCCATCCAACCATCGACTTCTACTTTTCTACCTTATTACACCTCTAGGACTGACTGCATGTTGTTGTGGCCTTACCAGTCCTTTGAGCACGTGGGATTCCTTTTTGCTATCGATGAAACAAGATTACAGGTCATTCAAAAACGAATTGAAAAGCATTACTACATTCAGGTCTTACTGTAGTGACAGCTTACCTACTGAGCAGTTGATTGATGTATTCCATGTTGCATTGAAGAACAAATACAGGACTGGAACAGCAGGAAACAAAACAATGTCAATTGTTTGTCAAAATGGACAGGACCTCTTGGTGACTGTCAGTGAATGCATCATCAGTGTGACCACTATATGGCTTTTCAGTGTTTCACCTGAATACTGCTGGAAAGCTGTCGATGGTGATGAGCTGGACGAACAGTAAATAAGCCAGACACGCTCTGGACTCCTTGGACTCACTGCTGTCCATCTGGGGGCTTTTCTTCAGAGGGCTGAAGAACAGGAGCTCTGATAGAGACTTTTGGATTGCTGGTAGTGTGACCTGCAGTGATGCACGGTGACATTCAATCACGACACTCATTGTTGAAATGCTTTCCCATTTATGGAACACTTGCTCTTACCATTATCTCTGTTGCAAAGAGCCACAGTGAGGATTTTCTGTCTCTGTTCAGTTCAGCCTCGAGCAAAGGCTCCCTCAAGCTCCGCATGCAGCTGCAGAGAGGCATTAGCAACAGTGGTTTCATTTAGCCTATACACCGAAATGTGAGTCACTATAGGCAAACATGTAGTTGTTTCAATGCACTGTTTACAAAACATATATTTAAAGGCCGCTTTCTAAGTTCTGTTTTTTTTCTTATACCCTGAGCAAGAAATGACTTTCTGCTTCAAATGGGCAGATATTTAAATAATGCCAAACTTATACATTCAAACATAACATTTCAGAAAAGTGAAATGACCAAAACATACAGTTGGTTAAATGAGGTACCCCATTCACCTGTAGTATCTTATCTCACCCCCATAATGAAAGAAAACAAATGACCTAAAACAGACAGCAATGAACAAAGATAACTGCATTGATCAATTGTAATGATAAATAAAGTACATTCATCAAAATACAAACAGAGAAGCAACATTTAGTTAACTCTGCCTTTACCACAGCCAAACGGAGAAAACAACGTACAACTTGAGAAGCTCGGTCCTTAGCTCCTCATCCTCAGAGGTGGTGACGGAGCTGCCAATCTTCCTCTTCACCTCCTCTACGAAAGGCTTTGTGAAGTTGGTCAGGGCGTTGTAGCAGCGACACAGACCGTGCTCATCCTCGTCCTCCTGCTGCGAGCTGTAAGGCACAGGCAGGCGGGACAGCTGCTGCTGCAGGGCGCCCAGAGCAGAGCCCAGCCTGGCTGCCTTGCTGTCCTCCAGCTGCAGCAGCACTGCAATACACAGGACCATGTTTGCATTAGTGTACAGCAGGGGGAGCCATACTCCATGAATACATCAAGAGATAAAACATATCTCTTTACCATAAGCTGCCACAGGCAAGACTATTGCAGTTGTGCAATAAACCCTCCCTTCATGAATGTTATTTTTATTTTTTATTTGACCTTTATTTAACCAGGATAGGTCTCATTGAGATTACAAATCTCTTTTTCAAGAGAGTCCTGGCCCAAGAATGGTAACAGCACAGTTTCAGACAGTTTTACAGTTACAGACAATTAAAAAACACACAATCACAACACAGTCTTACACCAAGTTTAGCCAAAGCATTTACAGACACAGCGGCCTGCTTCAAGGTCAGTTCAAGTTGCTTTGAGTGTTTCTAATGAGACCAGCTCTCTGAGTTTCAGCTCAGTTTGAA